TAAATAATAAAAATAAATAATAAAAAATAATACCAAAAAATTAAAAAAGGAAATCAAAATGTAAGGGAATAAAAGGAAAGGAGCATGAAATGAAATAAAGAATAAATAATAAAAATAATTGAAAAGTTAAAAAAGGAAATCAAATGCAAGGGAATAAAAGGAAAGGAACATAAAATAAAAAAATTACAAAAAATTAAAAAAGGAAATAAAACGTAAGAGAATAAAAGGAACATAAAATAAAATAAATAATAAAAATAAATTAAAAATAAATAACAATAAATGAATAAATAATATTAGAAAATTTTAAAGGAAATTAAACATAAGGGAAATGTAAACCTTTGAGGGCTGGATTAAGTGGGAAAAGAAACAGCCAGCAGGACAAAATGTAAATTCCCATAGTCAGGAAAAGATTCTCTTGGAAAACAAGTGCTCAGCAGCTGGAAACAGGAGGAGAACAAGGAGGACACTCAGCTCCAGGACAAGAGGACACAGGCAAAGGCAAATCCAGTCCTGGAATGAAACCCCTCAGCAGCACACAGGGACACATGGAATGTTATCCCACAGCTTCTCAGCAACCCCTGATCCGCTGGGGAATTCTGGCTGGGAGTCAAAGCCCAGGGAAAACACTTCCTGCTCCCCTGGGCCTGCCAACAATCCTGGGAAAGGAGGGCAAGTAAACACGGGATCAAAGGGAAGGGGTTTGTTCCAGGAAGGGGGGGAAGGTTAGGGAAGGGGAAGGACAACACCGGGAAAACAGCAAGTGCACGTGGACTGGGAATAGATCCAGGCAGGAAGTTTAAAGCTTCTCACAGTTTTGGGGGTTCCCCTCAATAGGAAAAGCAGGTAAAAGAACCCACATTCCACTGAAACCCTCTTCCCGAGGTTTATCCTGTGATACTGCAGAGCAGCCAAAGCAGATCCAAGGAATTCAGGCCCCGCTGGAATGTTTGGAACCACGGGAGCACATCCAGCTGTGGCCCAGGGAAAGCACATTTCCCACAGGTGTCCCACGGGATGTGTGGCCTGAAGGGAGAGCTGGATCTGCCTCCTTGCTGCTCCTGCAAAAGGCCCCAAACTTCCCAGCTCTGCCCTTCCAGAGATGATCCAACTCACCAGCCACACATTTTCCTCTGGCAAACTGGTTTTCCACCAAAAATCAGCTCCATGAATCAAAAAAACCCCCCAAAACCTGGATGTGGCCATGGAAGAGGAGGATCCCTCCAGTGCCATCAGCAGCTGGAATCAACTATTTCCTTGGAGTGTGTCTTTTTTTACAAGAAAAAGATATAAAGAAAGTTAAATCCTGACAGATACACATTAAAAGAGTAAAAAACCAGTCACATAAATACTGAAAATTAAAGTACAGACCGTCCACATGTGATAATTCTGGATGGTCTCATTTACAGCAGAATAATAATTATTTTTAAAAGCTTCTAATGACAAATTTTTCCCGGCAAAGCACTGCAAGATTTGGCCTCAGCAATTCAAGTTCCTACTCTGCTGCACTTGTTTAAATGTAATAAGTAGTAATTATAAGTTATAAATAATTTTGTTTAATTGTAATAAGTGATAGGAATAAATTCTAAAAAACTTTGTTTAGTTGTGATAAGTGATCAGAATAAATTCCAAACAATTTTGCTTACTTGTAATAAGTGATAAAGATAAATTCTAAATAATCAATATTCGAGTGTTAAACAAAAAATAAATTTTACACTCGGGAAAAATTAAGAAATTGCAAGTGAACAGACTCCCATTTTTTAAGTTCTGCAGCCTGGAAGCCCTTGAATTATAAGTTTGTTAAAGAATCCTGCACAGCTGGGAGTTCAAAAAAAAAATATGCACTTGTACAAATTCTTCAGTCTGAGCCACGTGAAAGGTGAGTCAAAAACTCATCAAACTGCAGCAAGAATTTGAAATAAGGAATCAAAATAAATGAAAATAAATAAAATAAAAGAAGAATTTGTACTCAGCACGAGTTTGCTGCTCCAGAAAGCACAAGTCAGGGCAGGAACTCGACCCAAAACAACTGAGTCATTGTGTCACCACAACCCCGGCCACGGGTTTTGTAACCACGGGATGTCAGAGTGTCCTGAGCTGGGAGGGACCCACAGGGATCGTCTCCTGCACAGGACATCCCAAAATCCCCCCACCTGTCAGTACAGGTCCTACAGGGAAGCTCACGGGAAGCTGGAAGGATAATGTAATAAATTCCATCAAGAAAAGGATGAAAACCAGCTGAACTTACACCAACCACTTCAGTCCCTAAACCCCTGAAAACCCAGCAATGTCAGGGGAGGGCAGGGGGCACCAAAACACCTGAGACATGCTGGAAGAGCTGGAAAACTTCAGGAGTTAGAGCAGGAAAAACACAGCACACTTCCTGATGCTGCTGAGGAACGGAGTGGCTGCTCCCCCTCGGGAACCCATCACGGTGGGAGGAAGAATCATGGAATCACTGAGGCTGGAAAAGCCTCCCTGTGCCCGATGCCCCCCTTGTCCCCCAGCCCAGAGCACTGAGTGCCACGGCCA